GATGCTTGGAACATGATTGTCACAGGTTATAAATGTTGTCTATCCTTTTTCCCTTCAGAAATGTTATCCTAGGCCATATCCTCAAAACATACTATTAAAAAAGTATTATTTTTTTCATGAATGACCATACATTTAAGGAAGTTTTAAATTTTAGAAATTAAGCCTTTTTTTCCCTTTTTTTTTTAAACTGTTCTATAAAATTTTTGCTAAGTAATCTTTAATTATGTATTTACAAGTACTCATACTTCAAATACTTTATGGAATTAACGATGGTAGAATATTGCATAAAAGTATCGTGAGCAGCATTTACTTTATTTGTGCAGTCTTGACCGAGGTTCCCTGCCTCCTCTGGTCAGATATTTAATCATGCATTCTTCACATACTTCTAATATATAATAGCCCTTTTATAAGGTTCTGCAATCACTGGCAGCAAAATATGATCATCTTATTTGTCTTGTTTACATGAAGAATATCCTGGCTCCATTAAAATTTTGTCATCATGCAAGATATTATCTTTTTCTGTTGCATAAATATGAGACAACAGAATGTCACTTGTAGTGATAAAATATAGCATATTTCCATCTTTTATCTTTAGGCATGATTATACATACCCAAAAGCCAACACTTTAAAGAAACCACATTATTTAATATTCAGAATGAATAAAAATCCACAATAAGAAAACATGTGGACTCCACAAGACTAAAACTAAGCCACACCAGTAACATTTGAAAAATGAAATTAGCATTGAATTTTGCAAGATGACCCCCTGTGGTGTCACAGCAACAAAGTTATGCAAATCTTCATACAACTGAAGGAGTCCTGTGAAGGCTCTGCCTACTGATCTCTGGCAGAAAAGGTCACAGGCTATGTTTGAGGGATTTTCAGCAGGGCTAAAAGGCAGGAAACAGTTGGAAGGAATGAAGAAATATTTCACAGGCAGTAATAAAAATTTTATAGGGTTTGCATGTGAGGCTGTATAACTGATCTGTTTGTAAAATTGTCCAAGACTTAAGCTCAGTCAAACTATATTGTTCTATAGCATTTGCATTTTAGAATGACCATTAGCTACATATAAACAGTGCTTTATTTAGCTTGTTAAAGAAGGAAATGAAGCACTTCAATATAAACTCACAAAATTATTTTTCAAAGAGAGAGAAAGCAGACAGGGGTTAAAAGTAGTAAGAAACAGAAAATATTTCTTACTGATAAACTGTCAGGATAAAACTGTGCTCTTGTCTCTGGGACTCTCATTAGGTCTTTCCCCTTTAAGAAAGAACATTGTTTCTAATTTCCTTATTACTCTTATGGAAGCATTCAGGGAATCAGAGGAATACTTAAATACATATTCATAAAAATAAATGAGAAAATATTCAGCATTTTGGAATAGTGGATAAATCCTGAATTAAGTCTACACTTGACTCCTGCTTCCATTAATCTCTACTCTAAGGTCACACTGGCTTGCTGTCCATTTTGAAGCATTCGTCTGAGCATCTTGTTTTCTCTTTTTCACTGTCAAAGCTTTTGAAACTTCTGACTGAGTAGTAGCATTGCATTGCATACACTGATGTTTCACAGATGAAAAAAATAGGCATAAATAATTCTTTATACTGCTTCTTTTCACAAATGTAGCTACCAGTTCAAAACAATAAACCAGCTACAGAAAATGTGTGTGACAAGCACGTGATGCTCTTGCCAGCAGTCTCCCACAGCAGGCTGGTGGTAATCATTCACTTTTCATCGCTCTCTCATTCTACGCTTAGTATGAGAGCTTTGCTACCCTTTTCTAGCTGCACGTCCTACATAAAATCTGAAGTTATGTTCTCATTTATCTGGGATTTGTCAGTGCAAATATGTAACTGCTAGTGATTTGAAGAGTTGAGTTGAACTACGGTTCTCGATTCTTTTTTTTTTTTTTTGCAATGAGTTTTGTGTTTTCTCCTCCAGCCTCACTGATTATTTTCCTTCACATCAGAACAACAGTACCGAAAATTATCCCAGTAAGGAGCCAGCTCCAGCAGCAGGCAAAGTAGGCAGTAGCCTAGGGCAGCCGACAGCTTGTTTTTTCTGTATCAGAAAAGAGATGGTCACTGGCCTCTACTTATATGATTTTGCCCATTGCTGCCAAAGGACTGAGGGAGAAAGGAGGCATCTCTCTTCCCAGTAGTAGTACCATTACTAACGTCAACAGGAGCAGAAAGTCACTTCTGTTTCCACTTCTTCTCATACCTCCTCTTTGCAGGAGAACATCCAACCCTTCAACCCTGGATTGACTGGTGACTGACCCTCCCCATCACCCTGGCAGGTCCCTATCAGACAATAGTGATGAGTGCTGGAAGAAGCAGGGGGGCAAGAGGAGGCTGCATGGGGTAAGGGATGTGTTGGTTATAAAAGTAAGAAAGATCTTAGAAGGACTGGGCACAGGCTGGGATAGGAGGGAGAAAAGAGACACACCTTAAGTCGTCTGAAACTTGGGGACTCCTCCCTGCCTATAAGAGTATTTCCTAGGCTCTCTTCCACCAGCGCAATTTTCTGGTTAAACTCTGCCAAGTCCTCTTAGTTCCCTCTGCTATCAACCAAAAAAAAGCAATATTGCTAGCATCAAGAAAACCTGATTTGGCTCTAACAGAAAAATTAAACTGGGGAATAAAGGATCTCCCATTCCATAGGCAGCTTCCTCCATCTTCTTTACTGTTTGCCCATAATTTGCTAATTTCATGCTTGTCTAATTTAATATCCTCCTCCGTTGCCTCAAACTACATCTCTATATATGCTCACAAACTGCATGTCTCTATATGCTCATAATCATACTGTATGCCAATGCCTCAGAATTACTCTTGCCAGAAACGGAAACACTACAAATGAGAAGAGCACAAGAACTAGATAGATTTTAGAGCTCTATCAGCCGTGCCCCTTCAATTTACACTGTTTTGTAGGACAGCAGGTCAACAACACCAGTAACTCCCATTCCTGTCCTTCCAGTGTATGGTTCAGGGCACCTCTCAATCATCCACTTCCTAAAGATGTATAATTTTTTCCATACAAATCCATATGAATTTGGTTCAGACAACGTCACTTCTGTGGAATAGCCTATAACCTGTCTTTCTCCCATATTCAATCAAATCATACCTACTGAGCCTGAAATCCACTAAATCAGTTTACAAGCTCAGAGCAGGTCCTAACATTACCGCTTTTCCTAGAAACACTCCATTTGTTCTTCTATTGACTCCATCTATTCTGGAACTTCCTTTTCACAAAGTTTCTACTTTGACAGATAGGAAAATCAACGAATCTGTTATTAACTTTTACCAGATGTATCTATACACAATGTATACCTTCTGATTGGTTTTACAACCTTTACCTTAAGGTGCAGCCCTCAGTATGTAATAAATAAACCATGAACTGACCATAAAGCATCCCTACCATGTTTTGTCCACCATATCTGGAAACAGCTAGAACCCTTAACATCTACAAACTGTTTTCTGGAAGGAGAATGACTGTGCCCAAGATTCAAGAATTTGTGTATTCTAGCTGATTTAGGGAGATTTGAAGACCCATACCAATGACATCAGGGGTTAATTGAGCATTTAAAACAGAAGCTAAGAAGTCCAAGGTGAAAAAAAAAGAGAGAGACACCATCAGAAGAAAGGGGAACCTTGACTGTGACAGTAGGCAAAGGTTGGAGGCACTCGTTGCAGGGAACAGTATGAGAGCAACTCTGAGTTTGAAGAGAAAGCACAGCTTGGAGATGTGCCCTCCACCAGAAAGCCTTGCGACCCTCATGGGACGCCGAGCCACCAGAGAATGCCCCAACAGGTCCACAAATGAGCAGGGGATGTTGCATACCCAGTTATGACCTTGCTTCAATGCATATATCTGTGTGTCTTTTACGCTATCGTTGCTTTTAAAAGTTCCTCACCTACTACATGCAAATGATAAGACTGAGCACTCCTTCGCCCTGGAGAAGGAACACAGCCAGGGACTGCGAGAAGTGAATTTTACATCCTGCCCCACATACTCAGAGTTCTGCAAAGCTGTCTGAATACATTACTGGAGTAGGCTGCTGGCTTACTTGCCAATGAAATGTGCTGCAACTAGGAGAAAGTCCACCAAATTGGATCTCTTCCTCCTCCCAACCCCAGAAGAGGCAGATAAAACTCTGTGCTTACAGTTTTGCCTAACAGAAGTCCGTATTTGTGGCCTGAATGGAATAGAAACTACCATCCCAACTCCGTTGAAGATGTTTTCTCAGATACTGTAAAAACTGCAATTTTTAAATTGTCTTTCACAAGGCACACTATGGTGCCAGTAAAACCCCAACATGCTGTCTGGAAAGTTATCTACAAAAGATTCCAAATGACAATTTAGCAGAGGGGAAAGTGTCTGAAGTCAGTATGTAAGGTCAAACAAATCAACCAAGACCCACACTTAATTTTCTTCCTCTCTGCCACTCTGACTGGTTCAACTAAAGACGGCATGATGTTATCCCCCTTCAAGTCAGTTTCTGACTGCCTCCCTCAAAAACTAATTGAAAGAAGTGGATCCTATAATTTAAAATGAAATAGGCTCAGCAGGTGAGTAAGCTTTGTCGAGATTGATTACTGAGTATTGATTTTCCACCAATTGTACAAGTTACACTCCACAAGGCCACCTGCACATTAACCTAGAATATATAAAATCACCTCGGGCTAACATCTATCCAGAGGTTTGTATTTTCAGAGGATGTAGGTAAGAAGACAATGCTGCAGTCTCTAGCTTTTTTCCTCACACATACATTCAATGGCATTTATTTGGACAACATTCACACTTTGTACTTACTTCATCATAAAAAACTATTATTTGTATTTTCATTTTTCAAAAAGAATTTAAGATAACTAACCAGGAAAAAACTTCATATAACCCAGCACTAACTTAATTGTAAAAACTGTAAAGATACTCAGTTAGGTTCTCCCATGATATGAAAGAAAGAGATGCTGGATGCAGCGACAGCAGAGTGGCTTACTGTGGCCTGGAAGCTTCTGCTTGGTCCGTCTGAAGCTTCTCGCCCCCTTCTACTTCCATAGTGCAGTAGACAATTCGATTGGGAGCGACTGACTTTAAACCTTGTACCTCCATTATAACAATCTGAGGAAAGGAAAGCAAATAGTTTATCCTTCAGAAAACATTACATAGCACAGCTATTGCAGTACTAAGCTTCATGCAGGTAAAAAAAAAAAAGAAAAAATCCCCAAACCCCACTCACTCAAATCTTCACAGAGAAGAGTTTTAATTTTGCCTTCTTTTTCCACTTTCAACAACATATAGTAGGAATTGAAATTTTTGCTCTGTTTCTATTTGGACAACGACCAAAACCTCACTCCAATCATAATTTAGATGCTAGTAGTTGAATTTGAGACTAATGTCTAAATATAATTCTAAATATTAATACATGAGAAAATGTATCTTTTAAGCCATCATCTAAATACATATTTATAGAACGAATAGGTTACTAAGTCAGACTGTAAACAAGACAAGTAAGTACACTGACCACATCTTGAAAGGTTAATCGTGGTGCTGTGACACTGAAGGTTGCAACCCTTGAATCTCAGAAGCAATTTGGTGTTGTGCTGAGCATGAGGCAGGTCAGAGCATCACTATCTGCTGCTGTAATTCTTTTCCCCGCTACCTACCCCTTTTCCTTCTCCCAGCTCAGTACTTGCAGTCAGATTCAGCATGCATATGGGGACGGGGGGAAAGAGAAAAGAAAAAAGCCACCTCTACTACCAGCTGCGCCCTGAGAAATTTCCTCACTAGGGAAATTCTGAGCTTGGCAGATCCCATAGTTTTTCAGCTCCTCTAAACTACTCAGTTATAGCTCAGAAGAGCCAAATGCAGTCCTACTTCAAATGCTCTCTGCCTTTTATAAACCTTACGGTTTGTCACAGTGTGAAATTATTGGAATTTTTACACGTCAGATGTTTCTAACTGAGAGATTTGAGAAGAAAGTCAGGTTTCCCTGCTTGCTTTGGAAAAGCTGCTTTCCTTTCCAGCCCCATTTGGGCCTATGAGAAGAAACTGGTAAAAACGGAGTCCATTTAATCAGCAGAGAAGCTGTCCTCAGCTGAACTATACACAAAACCCAGTATTTGTTTGATTGTTTTAAAGGTGACAAAAGTAATGACTATTTTTGGTCTCATTAGAAGCAATTGGTTTTTAAGGTCAGCAAGCAACTACTAAAATACTTTGCTATTAAACTGTTTGCATATTTGCCCATCTATTTCAATTCAAGTATGTTAAGCCAGGCTTCACCCATAGCTGTAAAATCCTTTGTACTTTAAAATTCCCAGAACCTTAGTAATAGTTAGATGTCTTGTAAAATTGTTAGTTTGGTAATATTACAGGGAGATGACAGTCATTGATCATTTAGAACATTTTTACATTACTCATAAATTACCAACACTGCCTATTACGCTTCATAAATAGTAACAGCAATTCAGGGAGAATGACGTAATCATCTCTCTTCTCCATCTTTTGTAGTCCAGGAATTCAAGTAGTTATCAAAGTGATCAACAATCACTAAGAGACTGCACTAGAGATCCTTCTAGCTAACACTGCCTATACGGTCTTTCCACATGCCAAACGTATGTCCTTGTTGAATGCAGATGTCATGTTTATTCATTTTTATGTTGATACTTCTTTTCCTTGAGTTTCCAATTTAATTGCACAGTACATTTGTCTTTGGTAGCAATTCTGGATTCCAGCAATGGAAAAAAGTTGCATTTCATTAGAAGGAAACTGATTTATTAGCTCATTAGCTGATAAACAGCTTCCTAAATATTGCTTGTTTATTTCTGAAACTGTCCGACAGCTGAAGAACATAAGTGTTTAAGTCTTCTCCTACTACTCTGATATTTTATTTATTTATTTGACAAATTTCTGCAAACACACTATTTGAGGAAACATCCAACTTGCAAAAACAGTCACTGTGGCTTGTAGTGATGTGCAGCGTGTCTCGCCTCTTAGCCAGCAAGGTCCATTCCCTCCAGAACATTATAAATGTTACCAACATCTTCTGCTGTTCTGTCTTAGTAACAACATCCAGTAGCAGCGTGAACCCCAGCCACTTTTCCCCCCGCCAAGAAATTTTCATCGAGTTCTTATACTCTGTCCTAACATTTAGACATGTTACAGATTGCCTGTTTGTTCACGTGCCTCTGCAGCAGCCCTCAGTGGGGATTTTGCTGGTTACCCTACAATTTAGTTAAGTCACACCACAAAAGACATGACGTGGATATGTTTACATGTTATTCAAGAAATGTGAAATTGTGCACATACGACCTCACATTTTCCAAAAAGAAAGTATTCTGACACCAAGGAAATGCAATCAGCTTTTATATTTGTCCATTTGCATAGAAAAAGAGCACATCTTCCATGTTTCAGTCTAAATTAATATCAGTTCAGTTGTTTCCTTTTGCCCTTATATCCTCTGAGATTTAGCTTCCCAAGAGTGAGATAGGAGCTTGTAGCAAGGTGGGGGTCGGTCTCTTCTCCCAAGTAACCAGCGATAGGACGAGAGGAAATGGCCTCAAGTTGCGCCAGGGGAGGTTTAGACTGGACATCAGGAAAAACTTCTTTACTGAAAGAGTGGTCAGGCCTTGGAACAGGCTGCCCAGAGAAGTGGTTGAGTCACCATCCCTGGAAGTATTTAAAAGACGTGTAGATGAGGCGCTTAGGGACATGGTTTAGTGGGCATGGTGGTGTTGGGTTGACGGTTGGACTCGATGATCTTAGAGGTCTTTTCCAACCTTAATGATTCTATGATTCTATGATTCTATATGCACATACTTGTCCAGCAAGAAACTCCACTTATGTGGTCAACACCATGTTTAAAATGAAAATTTGCTCTACTAAAAAAAAAAAAAAATACTACATGTAGAGTGACACTTTAATTCTTTGCCTTGCACAGGATGAACTGTAGATTACTAACCTTGCAGAACATCTGTGTGTTTTCTTTATCAGTGATGGCAGGGGGGAAAAGCTAAGTTCACCAGACCTAATAGTCCTCATTTCTGGTGTGAGAGGGGAAGGGCTGTAAACAAAGCAAAACTGTTCCAAATCTACCGGAAATTATATCTCCTGTCATTTTTCATTTCATGATTGTTTCAATCTTTTTACTGTGCTTTTCCCGCCAAGTATCATATCATTTTTAGTACATAGTTAATATTTCTCTCTAGAGGCACAGAGAAAGCTTTTCTTCTTCTTACAGCCCTCACCAAGCAAACTTTCTTGAAGAGAGAAAACATTATCAACAAACTTTTTCAGTTACTTTTTAGGTGCTTCGGAACTACTCTTTGTTATTGCTATTAGGCTTGGTATTCCACTTGAGGCAGACACAGCACATGCGATGGAGATGCACAGGATTCCACACAGGAGTTATAAAACTACTTTATCATTTCATATACTTCAGTACTAAGGCCTGCACTCCAGTTTTACATGCCTGATGAACTAATACTTTTTGGCATATAGAATGATGGATCTTACTACCCTTTGAAAGTTGATGTTGGGCTTTTACATTATTAGCTAGTAATATTAAAATTGCAAAAAGTGGGATAAGTAATTTCTCTGTTCCTGATAACAACAGTGTTTCATTATTACGTTCAAAAGTATACTTAGGAATTTAATGTACTGGAATTCATTTAAAGTTACATTTGTGTGGGAGATTCAACTGCCCACATTGCCGTGTGGGCCCAAATGCAACTACTGCTGCAAAAGCAAAACGTATCATATAGCTGTACTCTAACTCCTGATTATCAAAGAGACAAAGAATAATTTACTTTAACATAAAATTTTAAAATTACCAAGGAAGGACTAATAACAAAAAAGTATCAAGACATAGATATTCTAGTAATTTAAACTGTCAACAAGTTTGCTGTGAAATACGTGATTACCTCTAATGTGAAGGAGAGGACCACATCAGACTTCGATAGCTGAACCTCATTTTCATCTCCTATGTCCAAGAACGCAGAATTCTGTGATCGCTTTAACTTCTGCAGTTTAAATTCTGGCCCACCTTTAGACACTGGAAGACTTTCCAGATTTGCCATCAGCAAATTCACCGAAGACCGCAACTCTTCTATGTACATGTTCTCCATTTCTCGTGTTACGAATTTTGGGAATTTTCTTTCCTTGGAAGATACATTTTAAAAGTTAGGGAGGAAAAAAAATCATCCCACATTATATGCCACATTAATTTACTGATTTGCTCTCAGTTAAGAGATATTTAATAAAAATAAGTCTTAATTCCAGCATCTATCTATTTTTATACCTTCAAAACAGTAATAGGAAGGCTAATCCCGTCCCATAAACAGTGTTAAGTTTGACAAGAAGAAATGTAATTTGAATTGAGAATTCCATCATATTCCTCAAATATAGTAGACAAAATATATCTTTGAACACGTCAAAAAAATAAAGTAAGGGGCATTTGTAAAAGCGGAACCTCTTGACCCCCCAGAATCATTTAACCATAAACCCAGGCTGAAAATGTACGCATTAGGTGTTTCTAATACACATGTTTGAAGCGTATCAATTGACAATATACCTGTAATGTTACCTTCAAGTATTTTATGAATAGACAAAATGAACTGTCCACTAATAATTTTGTTACTTCATTCATTTCCCATGCTACCAAAAATAAGTCAATCACATTCATACTTCTAACATAAGGCTGTTAAACTACAACCATGACAAGAAATTCCTATCATTGTTTATTTCTATTCTTAATAATAGGTCATTCATTTTGAAAGTAATGCTGAATTATTACACATGGGATTATTTTAAACATAAAAGAACGTAAAAATCACTTTTTTCCTCTGTAGGAGTTAGTTAGATAATAATGTTTAAATACTGTGTTTATAACAAAGAGGGAACATATAAACAAATGTAAGGCATATATGAACATGTACAGAGACAATTTTATGCACAGTTTCTCCCCTGATATTGAATATAGGGCACCTTGGGAGAATATGTCACTCAAGATTAAACGAAAATGTAAATTATTCTAAAATATACATTTTACATATAAATGGGAAACAAACACTGCTCCCCACATATTGTCTGCAAAGGTAGGCACCTTGCTCCTAAACCAGACAATATTTATTGTTAGCTGTTATAAGGAGTATCATAAAATGTTTTACATTAAAACCTTTATAGCTGATTTTGTTTCAATAACGAAGACCAAGCAAGTTGACTGTGACCAAAACACCTGCAGCAAGTCCAGTGGTCCACTGGCTCATTACAGCATTACAGAGCCAGTACATTACAGATTGAAAAAGAAAAAAGAAAAAAAAAATTATTTATAGTTAGAAACTAAAACCAAAGGGTAACGTTCAGGGTGCTCTAGCTAAAAAAACCCCACTTTAGAGTGTTTTTCAAACTGTACCTTACCCTGTGAGGATCATTCAAATAATAATATGCCAACACAGGAGACAGAGAAGACAGACTGTTATTATGTTGTTAAAAGATCTTTCCTCTTGTTAAGATGTTTTTTCCATCCCAGCGTAAAAATTGAGGGAACTTTTTACGACTATTATTTTCCATGATTTAAGACAGCACTATCAGAACATATGGACGCCTCTATTTCTGTAAAACCTGAATGTTTGTAGCCACTTCTCTCCCTCACAAAACAAGGGTGAGGATCCTGCATAAAGACTCTAAGGTCTACAAATTTCACCCCTCCCCCTCCCTTTTTATTTGCTTTTTTAAGACCGTGAATTTGTAACAAATTGCTATAGCACATAATTTCAAAATAATTGAGAGACACAACAAGAATAGTGAGGTTTTTCCACTATTTTTAAGTGCATATGCACAGGAATGTAATTACTTTGATTTGAAAAGCCCAGATTGTCTGAAGAACACATCCCCGTGCACAACACTGGAATTTTGGGAACTCTGATTGCAACGTACTAGAATACATCCTAAAATAAAGACCCCGGGGACAGATGAGAGACCTTGATGAGACTGATGTATACACAAGCCTTTAGGTCTGGATTCTGAGAGTGCTAAAATGGATTTTCAGGATGCATTTCTCAAGGAGAAAAGACACTGCATAGTCTCTTCATAGGATCAAAGTTTGTCTTAGAAAAGCATAGCACCAGTTACAATAGGTAGAAAATCCCATTAGGTCATATACACTTTGATTTCAACTACTTTAAATTTAGTTATATAAAGAAACAGATGGGCAAATAGATACACAAATTCCCCATTGATTTTATTCTGTCATAGATGAACATATTTCTAAGGTTTTTGCCTCCATTAAATAGGTTAAATTATCTTTTCTGCTAAAATAAACTTCTCAGTTATAATTAACAACTTGTAAAATCAGCAAGTAATGTATTATAGGAACCGGGAATGAGACCTCAACAACAACAAAAAAGCTATATGCAAAGATTTCTCTTGAGCTGTGCTAATCTTTTGAGACTGCAGTTTAATAATTCTCTTACAGGCAGGTAATACTGAAAACCCTTTTCTTTACCAACAAAGATGCTAGAATACATAATCCAGTATCAAAACGATTTTTACCTTGTTTTTGAACTCTGAGAATAAAGTTCATATTTTGCAGCACCTGATCGCTTAGGCTTAAATGATCTTAATAATTCTCACAGCTGCTGGAATCAGGACTAGCTCTCAAAGTCCCCCACAAACAATTCTGCATTTTAAGTAGTTTAAAAGAGCTGTATGAAAACTCCGATTTCTGACTTGGATGTACCATGTAGGATATGGAGTTCCTTATTCTGTGCAAAACTGTGCAGCTGACACTGTGGCAACCATGAGAATTTTCAAATAATGGGTAAAAAATGGATAAATAAATTTTTCTTTAAAAAAATCTACAGGCGTGCAGTGTATGCACATTAGACACAGAATGAACAAGGTTTAAATAGTGTTCATAATTTTCACAGGCTTTAAAATGAATTTGAAACTTTTATGGACAGCATTTTGTTTTTTAGGAAGATTACACCTCCAAGTTGTTATTTATGAACTTCATAGACCTAAATGATAATTTTTTCCTTTTAAAGGAACAAGCAAATCTTAACTGCTTTACAATTAATATATTAATATAATATACTTTTTTCTGCATACACATAGTATAACGTACATGCTTCCAATATTTTGTAACTTTTGGAGCTAAAGGCAAGAAGGCAACAGAGCAAACATAGGATTATTGACAACTTTGATTATAAGCCCAGGCTTCACAGAAGATTGAAGAGACATGAGATTGCCTTTCTGTGAAAAAGGAGTCTTTCTCCACGATTTAATATGATATGGCCAGGGACAATACCAATCCCACATGTGATATTTAATATAGAAGGGCATAATCATGTCTGCTGAAATAAAATACAAGCTATAGGAGAGAAAATTAGGATTGGCTTTCTAAAATTTACAAAAAGAATTTATAATTTACCCAGTCACCACTAATTTGACCTACAAGACTCAGTCATAGTTTTGTTACTTGCAATATTAATACAATTAGACTTAATCTATGAATGTAAACTATGTTATATATACTTAAAAAGTGTATCACATATAACCTGCAGTAAGACATAAACATTTTGGTTATGCCCTAAGCACAACATAATGCACCTTTTTATGTAAAATATTTTCGTTCCAAAATACATAATCCCAAATGTGCAAATAATACACCCTTTGTTTCAACACTGGACTTGCTGATGAAGGAAAGGCAGGATCACACAGCATATGACTTTCCAAAAACAAGTTTTGCTTTCTCCCTACCCCTGTTGACACAGATACTCCAGAGCAGAAAGAAATGCATCTGCCAGACTGTTTTCAGATGATCTTCTGCTTAATTTTAGAATCAGAAACTGGAAACACACACTATGTATCGTCCCACTCAATCTCATATGAAGATATGTTTTTGGTACATGAAAGCAACCACTTACCCTTGCCATTTGTTCTGCCAATTGTAGTCGTCCATCTAGTTCACGTCTGATCTGGGCTGCTTGCTCATCTCCATTATCCAACTTGGATAGAGAACAAAAATAAAGTTAACTGTGAGAAACACACACTATATTTTAACTTAGCTAAGCAAGTAATGTAGTTAAAAACAAAATAGAAATGAATTGCATCCTTTTCATCCTAAAATCAGTGAAACACTAAGCAAATACATGGCTTTGAGTCTTACCACGATGAAAGAAATGTAATGGCTACCAGTTACCCATGCAGTCAGGGTCTCTGGTGGGTAGCCAGCACTCCCTTGAGTTTTTAATACTCAGGCTAAACAGAAGAAGCATTATTTCCTTATGAAAATAGCAGCTGAAAACATTTCTCCATGAAGCAGAAAACGGGACTAACAGACTGGCTTAGAAAATGTTTGCAAGGAAATCTGCTCTTTGGTGCCATGAGTCTCTATATAGGAATATATAGGTACAGAGAAAGAAAACTGTGTGGCTATGCCTTCTAAGTATGGCATTATTTCACTCACATAGCTCTTTCCCCCAAATATTGGCCAACTGCTCACATCAAGGCATATCCCGTTTTTGAGCCTCCAATATTTTCATACCTAGGGAATAGTCATGACTAAACGTCTGACTTCAATCAGTGAGGTAAAGGGGAGGGACACATTTATTCACCTCAACAGAACAGCTGGCACTCAACAGAAAAGAGACTTCCCAACTCATTTTTGACCTGTTTACTTGTTAAGGGCGTTGGGGAGGGAGTGTAGGTGCCGTGGGGCTTCACCTCAGTGCACTGACCTGCACAGCTGGTTAAGAGGAAGAAGCGTGATGCCTTCTTACCTGAATAAATGCCAAACAAGGACAAAGACAGAGTCCCAGTGGAGGGCTCTCTCTGTCCCTAGGGCTAACCACAGACACGATGCGACATGCTGATACGACTTTAGTGCATTTAGTATGTGGCTAAGGTTTAAGGATACCTGAATTGCTCTTCACTAAAAAAACCCCTTAAATTGATTAGGGATGTAAATTGGCAAAAATTGGTTCTCTAATTAAATGACATCTTCAGCTACAGAATGCAGAATTAGTTTGGTAAATGATTGATTACATTAAACTAAGCTTTTTAAGTAAGACCACTGTTCAGTGCATCAGGCCAAATACATAACACCATCTCCCTTGCGACGCGCCTCAGCTAAATCCAGTAGATCTTATTGAACCAAGGTGCTCTTGAGAATTAGGCATTTTTTCTTTCAAAATCCAATTGAAAAAAAGGAATAATTAAAAATACACTATCCAGTGCTTACAGGTCAATTACAGCATTATGTATAATGCAAATCTGACCACATTTAGCAACAGGATGAAAAGTTTCCACTGCTAGTATGGAAGCGATGGCAGAACATGCAATCTGTCACCTGTGCAAGCTGGTGTCTCACAAGATCCTTGCAGGAACTGATCCAGACTACCAGAAAGCAGGAGAACAAAACCTGATGGCATCCCTAAAAGACGCTCAAATTTAAACCAGAGAGTAGAAGACGGATCATGTTCCAGACTGGAAGGGTCCTTCCGCTAGGTGTACCTGTAAATCTGCTCCTAGTTTGCCTGTGAGCATAAATGGCAAGAGGCGTTCTCGATGAAAGCAAATATTTTAGGTTTTCAGAATACAATTACAGTATTTCAAATAAATTCCCAAATTTGCATTCTTCCATTTCTTAACAGAGTAAGAGACTGCTTATTGAACTTATCACCAAGAATATTTCTAACTTCTATTTTCCTTTGTATTGTAACCACATAACTTTTGCAATAACTTTTGTTTAATCAGTACGAAAGTGAGTCTAATATGAAAAACAATTTTGTTTTTCTTTTTGGGATAAGAGAAGGTCAACATTATTTTAATAATATATCCCATGACAGGCAATTGCTTGAAAAAAATCTGCTTGAAGGTTATTTTGATGACTGAATTCTGATTTCTGCAAAAAGGAGGGTGTGGGAGAGCAGAACGAAGCTAAAACTTTTTCCTGTGTCAAGGCACAACTTAAATGACTGCCTCTGTTATTAACTCATTTGAAGAGGCAAAGTCTTTTGTTTAAAGACTAATATTTAGTTATTTTTCCATTTAAAAACCACATGAAATGATCATTTAAGTTAATGAAGGTGTAACCTGGTTTTGTAAATCTTAACATTTTTTCCTTAACTTTGCATTGCTTCCCATCTGTTTGTACTTGAGTACTTAAAAATGTGCTGATTTCCCTACTTACTTATTTTAAAATTTTAGTCTTCTTCCTGAAATACTTACACATTTTAATGGTTTTGTTAATATATGCATGTAATGATGTTTTGTAAGGTATGGAAAGAAGCTGAAGAGGTGAAACACTGAAGAACACTGCTTTATTTATAGAAAAGAGCCAAGGTAAAAATGACTAGCAAGTCATTCACAGCTGTCCTAATAAGAAGTAAAATTGTTGATATTAGTATTTTTGCAGTATGCAAAATGAAGTGACAATGAGAAAAACAGTAACTTCGATATCGCGTTCCACGCAAGGTCATTCTACTTGTTTTTATTCTAAATTCCACAAAATGCATGAAAAACAACTTTGCAAGCAAAGCAGTCAGCGATTATGAATGTGTAATCAATCATACTTTATTCGAAGTAGCAACAACAGTAAGACTGAGTAGATTCTGAAAATGCAGGTGGCATTTGGAATTTGTGAGTTGTGTCCACTTTTTTACATAGGGAAGACACTTGATACAGCCCACCGTATGGGTGGGAAGCGGTGACAAGGGTTAACATTAAGTGTACCCTGTCCTTTAATTCCTTATTCGTGGATCAAACCCATACCCAAGACATCTGTGGAATACACAGTTATGACAATCATTGCAGTAATTTTCAAACTGTTAAATAAAAACCAGAAAAGCATATGATACTATGCACAGAAATTAATACAAATGTAACATTGCAGAATAGCCACTCTCATTCTTCTCAGTATTGCCACTGAAATTTGGTTAAAAACCCCCACTAATTGGTAATCAATTAAAATTCAACCAAAGGGTGGTTTGTTGGGTTTTTTTAAAGAATAATTGGCATTTACATGGCATCACACAATGCTTCCCACCTTTAAATATGAAGGCATGTTTTTTAAAAAAAGTTATAGCCTTAGAGATTATTTTAAAAGAGGGTACATTTAAATTCCATTTAATAAAAACATTTCAGCTATCTGCAATGGTAGTGATTATACACCCTAGCTATTTACTGACTGCACCAACACTAGTGATGCTCCTCATGTTGCTTAAACCTCACATGACCAATTAGTCAGTATTTTAGCAGCAGGGGACCTCACTACAGAAGACTCTACACACACCAGAGACCTGTTTTCAGAATAAAATCCATTAGAAGTCCTGACTAAACAAACCACAGATTCCCCTAAATGCCATGTATCTGGCCCCCAGAATTTGTAAAACCTAGGCATAGACACTGACTCCCCTTTTGAGTGCTAGTTAATTCAGTAGGAAAATTCCCAGTTGAGCAAGAGTATGAATGAGACAGCTGTGTCGCTTGTGCCCTTTCTTTCTGCAAAGCTGATTATATGGATTTTAAAAGCTTCTTCAGAAAAATCAGTAGTTATGAATGACTATGCTTGGGTGAATAAGAAGCTACGTTTTATTAAAAAGAAAAAAGTGGTAGCTCATCATCTTTTTTTTTCCAATGGTGTTATATAAAACCAGCTTTCTAAAATAAACCTGCCACCGTTAGACATCAAGCTATTAATTTGAAAATGTTTTTATTCATTAATGCTTGAAGTTGCCTTTATTTTTTCTCACTCTGAAAAGGGCAATCATTTTTATTACAAACTTCTTTATTAGTAGAGATGGAGTGGGAACGTCCTCAGTATGCAAGTTGCCCAACGATTCTTATTACAGGATGTTTTCAGTTGCTTATGTAAGTGTCGACTTCTAAAAGACAGACTGAATTTTTTTATTCCAAATTTCTGTTTTAACAATTTCAACCAAAACACTCCATTGCTTCTGAAGAGGCCAGGGAAGACAACACACTACTTTATCCATAATAAGAAAAACTGTGACCATCTTGTCAAAGAGCTCTAGCACCATCTTGCTTTGAAGTAAGGATCTGAAATTTAGCAGGGCCCCATCTGTGAAAATCAGCTCAGCTCTGGCCAAGTTAGAATCTTTGAAAAATGAAGTTTGCAGCAGTCAGGCTGCAAACAGCCACTACCAGAGGCTAAATCAGATTCAGCATTCAGACTCATCTTCAGGTGGTGCTGCTCTCTGTCTTGAATATGCATGGAGTCTACGCTCCTCAGATTATTTGCTCATTTAAGAAAGACTGTACGCTTATCAGAGTTAAAAATCACTCTATGGATCAACAGCATGGTATCTTGCTTGACAAACTGCTGTTTAATTTGTGTCTAAACAGCACAGAACAGAAATACATCTGAATGAATTAATGTTTACATATTTTAAGAGGTTGGAAAAGACTGCACACTATTTGATTCCTATGTAAATAAAAACTTTTTTTAAAAAAATATTACTTAAAAGGCTGTAAAATATTTGTGTATTTTGGTGGAAAAGAAAAATGGTACACTGACAAAAAAATCTGGCTAATGTGCAAGGCAACTTAAGGTAAATAAGGTACTAAAGCTGCCAAGAAGTACTGCACTAACGCCCATGGCGCTCATTTGCATTCCTCTACATACAAAGTCAGTCAGATATCCTTTGCCCAAGAAACAAGACCAGTTTGAGTATGGATGAGTACTGACCTGTTGCAAGTTATTGTTCTCTACGTTCACAAGTGCTCGAACTAACTGATAGTTCCTCCAAGTGACTATTTTATTAATGTCCAGTTAGCTTCCCTGCAACTTTCTAATTCACAGTAACATGAACATGAAATTACATTTATGTGCTGGTTTTGGCTGGGATAGACTTAATTTTCTTCACAGTAGCTAGTATGGGGCTATGTTTTGGATTTGTGCTGAAAACAGTGTTGATAATACAGGGATGTTTTAGGTTGTTGATAACACAGGGATGTTTTTGTCACTGCTGAGCAGTGCTGACAC